TATATATATATATATATATATATATATATATATATAAAGGTAGTAAATGTGGACCTTTCTCAGATTTGTTCATTTTGTGATGATATCTTCAATTCTCTAATTTTAATGAATATTTTTTGTAATTTTTGGTAAAAAGTGATATTTTTAAATTCTTGTTGAAAACTGCAAGTCTGATTGCTTTGATTGTTCATTTTCTAATGATATCTTCAATTCTTCAATTGAAATGTGCATTGCTAACAGCAGAGCTATCTCAACCGACAAGCTGCTTGTTTTAGACCCTTGAGCTTATCAAGTCTGAACCCTAACATACCCCATCTCAAACTTTTGAACATCACTATTATCACTTTCAAAATGTCTGTGCCACATTTTTATTAATTGAATTATAATTTTTTAATATTGAACCACATAGGCAGAATTTACTATTAATTGGAGTTGATAAATTTTTTTTCAAGAAATATCACCTGGACACGCAAGAATAGCAACACATGCTAAAAATGCAAAGGCTCAACATGGGTAGACTCTTGTTTTTTGTCTGCTGCATGCGCAGATGAAAACTTCCCGACTTTGTTTATTTTTTTAAAGTTTAGGCCAGACTTTTTTTATTCCTTGTTTCGCGAGTTTTTATAAGGCAATTTTTTTTGAGGAGGGCGGAAAAAAAATATAATTAATTCTTTTTTTCCATTAGATTTGTGTGATTCTCAAAGAATTGTAAGTGAGATCATTGATCAGAGAGAAGAAATAAAATAAAATTTTATTCCATATATAACCTTGTTTCTTATCTGCGCGAGACTTCGGTACTTTGATCATGATACTCCCACGAAAATGCAACTTGGATTTGTTATGCGGCGGGCGTTAAAAAAAATAAAGATAAAAATAATATTTTTTAAAAATTTGTTTGCGCTTACAAATCGGCGGGCGTAAGAAATTACGCTGAAATAAAATTATATTTTTATTTCATTTTCGGCTCCTGTTCATACGACGGGTTCGGGAAACAAGGGATAATAAAAGTCTGGCCTTACTTGGTGTTAATTTGATATCCTATAAGTATGATGGTTGATACTAGAAAATGGATGATCTTATTCTTATACTTGTATTTTAATTTTCTTTCTTCTAGATCTTTCATTCAACATGAGTTGATGCTATAGTTCATCAAGATGCTTTTAACCATGAAGTTCTTGGTGTTTTTATTCATACTTGGCCCTGTTAAAGACTGTTTTGCTGCCATAAACTTAGGTAAGGTATCTGAAAACAGTGTTTATTTATTCTGTAGATTGCAAAACTCGCAATAATTTGTACTATACAGCAAGAAATATTTTCAGTAACATTACAAAGCAAGTAAAACGGTAACCTTACACAGTGAATCCCATGTGATTGGCAAATGTACTCATAACATTCAAAAGTATTTGTAACCTTACAAAAGTAAATTACACTGCTTTCCAAATCTGTTGTACACTGATTACATTTCATATATTGTTGTCATGTGTTGTTATCTGCTATAGAGACATGTCGAGTTGCGCTGGGTATGCAGACTAAGGAAATCAAAGATGAACAACTCTCTTCTAGTTCTACCTATAGTGAGGAGTTACTCGGTGCCAGATATGCAAGGTAAAAACAACATAACATGCGAAAACAAAATTTGTAATTGCATGATGGGAAATTGATGACTGCTGCTGGTGATTTTTTGTCCGAGGATGTTGTGATACCACCCTCTATAGCGTGATTGAGGACACCTATTGTTTTTCTTTCTCAAATTGAAAATTGATCTACATTCATTCACGTATGTTATGAATGCCGGGAAAGGTATGACAATCATGCTGAAATCAGTGTCACTAATGGTGTCTGACTAACCTCTGAATAGAACAGAAAATAATATCATTTATCTCTGTATCAACCAGACTGGGTCTGAATGAAGGTGCAGGTGCATGGTGTCCGGGAAATCCCATTTCCAAAGACCACAACGATGAATTTTTGGAAATCAATTTATTAAAGCTGACAGTGATTTCCTTGATAGCCATTCAAGGTAGAGATAATGCTGAAAGCAATGCTGTGGAGTATGCTACACATTTCAAACTAGTGTATTTCAGGCAGAGTGAGCTACCAACCGATGACTGGCGGCGGTTTGAATACAGGAACTACTACAATTATACGGTAATTATAAGTGTCTTTGTTTGTCACTGAGCAACTTTAACATTTCTCCATGAAATTAATATTTATGTTATATGTTGATATCAAATGTCACCATGCTGCTTGGTGATGTCATAGAGTATGTGATGATGTAATAGAGTAAGTGGTGACGTCACTGAGTGAGTGGTGACGTCATTGAGTGAGTGGTGACATCATTGAGTAAGTGGTGATGTCATTGAGTAAATGGTGATGTCATTGAGTAAGTGGTGATGTCATTGAGTGAGTGGTGATGTCATTGAGTAAGTGGTGATGTCATTGTGTAAGTGGTGATGTCATCGAGGAAGTGGTGATGTCATTGCGTAAGTGGTGATGTCATAGAGTAAGTGATGATGTCAGAGTAAGTGGTGATGTCATTGAGCAAGTGGTGAAGTCATTGAGTAAGTGGTGAAGTCATTGAGTGAGTGGTGAAGTCATTGAGTAAGTGGTGACGTCAATGTGTAAGTGGTGATGTCATTGAGTGAGTGGTGATGTCATTGTGTAAGTGGTGATGTCATTGAGTAAGTGGTGATGTCATCGAGTAAGTGGTGATGTAATAGAGTAAGTGGTGATGTCATTGAGTCAGTGGTGATGTAATAGAGTAAGTAGTGATGTCATTGAGTAAGTGGTGATGTCATTGAGTAATTGATGATGTCATTGAGTAAGTGGTGATGTCATTGAGTAAGTGGTGATGTCATTGAGTAAGTGGTGACATCATTGAGTAAGTGGTGATGTCATTGAGTAAGTGGTGATGTCATTGAGTCAGTGGTGATGTAATAGAGTAAGTGGTGATGTCATTGATTAAGTAGTGATGTCATTGTGTAAGTGGTGATGTCATTGAGTAAGTGGTGATGTCATCAAGTAAGTGGTGATGTAATAGAGTAAGTAGTGATGTCATTGAGTAAGTGGTGATGTCATTGAGTAAGTGATGATGTCATTGAGTAAGTGGTGATGTCATTGAGTAAGTGGTGATGTCATTGAGTAAGTGGTGACATCATTGAGTAAGTGGTGATGTCATTGAGTCAGTGGTGATGTCATTGAGTCAGTGGTGATGTAATAGAGTAAGTGGTGATGTCATAGAGTAAGTGGTGATTTCATAAAGTATGTTGGTGATGTCACTGAGTATATTGATGATGTCACTGAGCATATTGGTGATGTCACTGAGCATATTCGTGATGTCACTGCACAAGTAAATGTGCTTTTCTGATGGAGCAAATACAGTACATGATTTCAAAGAATATTGTTTGTTTTCAGGTGATGCTTGGCAATAATAATCCCAGCCAGGCCATATCTCACAGTATATCGCCCCCAATCATCGCGGAGAGAGTACGTGTATATCCGGTGAATCCCGTGGATGTGCCTTTACATGTCTGTATGCGAGTAGAACTCTACGGATGTCCATATCAAGGTAATAAAATACTCTCAAATATTTCAACTTCTGATGATAACAAGTAAACAGGAACAGGACTATATTATGGAAGGTGACAATTATTTATACTGGTAGTGAGAGGGCTGAATGCTTTACATTTGTGTATTAATATAAGCTGTCTAACTTAAATGTCTGCACACGGATTAGTTATAAACATCCATGAAAACTTCAAATTCACTTGTAACTCGATAGTAAAAAAATGATATGTAGTTGTGATATTTTGGGGAATTATTTAAAAATTCTGATTTTATATGGCACACATCTAGAATGGTTGGTGGTGCCACAAATAAGTAGTTTGGATGAATCTATTGAATGACATCCAGCGAGTGGTTGGTGTAAGTATGAACAAAAAAATAACTATCCTATATCAGACTACAGTGCAAGATTTTTACTGGTCCTTGCAAAATGTTATTACATTGGGTTTATTTAAGGATGTAGTAGACTTTCATTGGGCAAAACAGAAAAAGCTTGATAAAAATAACAATAATGGTTAATGACTAACATTTTTTACATGTCGTTGTAGCCCTTGCAACACTCTATCCAAAAATTGATAACACCAATGTCAACATTAATTACGTCACGTGACTGCTAAATAAACAAAATCGATTGTTCTGCTATTTTTACTGCTACTAGAAAACGAAAACAGTTAGCCAACACATTTTTATGAGAAAAGGAAGACTACAATGTTCTCAAAAATAATGTAAAAGAGATAGTTTCTGAATTGTTTGGTTCTTTTACAAAGTGGTGGAGAAGAATTCTGTAATAAATTAGAGTGCTCTGTTTTCACAGGTCAATTAGTAATGAAATATTACTGATACTTGAAAAATATTTTACATTTTGTTGT